AAAAAAAAAAAAAAAAAAAAAAAAAAGAATTTAGTCAGATGGAGATGACCATACCTAGCTATAAGAGGAGCTGGGAAACCTAATCTTTTTCCTGGGTGGCAATATGCCCAGCTGAAAATTGGAATTTCTATTAGTATGGAAAGATTTGAGATAGTAAGAACATGGATAGCAATCTTTGCCACATTCTGCCTGCAGGAGAAACTCAGGAAATTCATTTTCATGATTCCTAAACATGCAGCGTCTTCCACCAGATTGTGACATTTTCTCTTTAGCTGCTGGTCATTAGGAAGCACCTCTGCAATCCACAAATGATGGGCTGGTTCCTCTCAGCTAAATCTCTACCTGAGATACACGATGATCAGGGAAACATTCCTGGGTACCTTGCTGGTCTTGCTCAGACCAAACACATGCATAAGTTACAGTGGAGGTTAATGCAGATCTTTAACTGAGAGATCAAGTAACTGTCACAAATATCACAGAGCAATACAGAGAAAGAGAATATAGTTGTCACTCTACCTAGCAGACATAGTCCATTGAGAAAAAAAAAAATCTGACTGCCTCACCATCTTAAGCCTTTGGAAAGAGTGTTTGCCATTTCTCCCTACTCTACCGTGTCTGCCTCTTGTCAGCCTTCCGCAAGACCCCTCTGACCAGTGTCCTCGCCCTCTTCCTTTCCAATCCTCCACCTCTCCACACAAATCCTAATCATCTCTCACCCTTTTCAGATCTTGCAAGCTTTAGGATCTCATACTTCTGGGAGGCTTTCCTCTGCTCCAGCTTTCCCAGAGTGGAAGGAAGATGAGAAATGCTCTTTTTCTAGTTTGATCCTTTTGCAGAGCTAAATACCAGTTTCTTTCCAAAGACATATAATCTCACAAAGAGACTTAATCCTATTTCTGGTGTAATAAACCTGGCAATAATGTGGTAAGATGCAATTAATTCTTCATGCATTCACTTACATAAGGGCTGCTAGATTTGCTGATTTTTTTTTCTTGAGCTCTAAATATATTCTTTCCGATTCATTCATTAAACGAATACTGACTGAGTGCCACGTGAGTGCCAAGCACTCTTCTAGGTTCATGTCATTCATTAGTGAGCAAAAACCTCTACCCTCATGGAGCTTATTTTTATTCTTATTTTTTGAGACGGAGTTTCACTCTTGTCACCCAGGCTGGAGTGCAGTGGCGCTATCTTAGTTCACTGCAACCTCTGTCTCCTGGGTTCAAGCGATTCTCCTGCCTCAGCCTCCTGAGTAGCTAGGATTACAGGCATGTGCCACCACGCCCAGCTAATTTTTGTATTTTTAGTAGAGACAAGGTTTCACCATGTTGGCCAGACTGGTCTCAGACTCCTGACCTCAGGTGATCCGCTGGCCTTGGCCTCCCAAAGTGCTGGGATTACAGGCATGAGCCACTGCGCCAGCCCCCTCATGGAGCTTCAATGCCAGATTCTGGTTGCCAATCTGTTGGTTGATCAAAGGAGAATGGAGCAGAGGGATGGGGCGCATCAAAGGGCATGGTGCGTAGGAGCATTCAATGACTACTTGCTGGTTACCCCGTTGGTGGACAGAGTCTTATATAGAAAATTGCCTTACTGGTAACCAGCTTCTGACTGTCACAAAACCCAGCTGGAGACTGACACTATTACAGGTCTGGTGGTTATTGGACATTAACATGTGGGCATGTGAATGGACAGATGCCCACGCCAGTGGCACTGATCAAGTTTCCTTACTTTTAGGTATAAAGGACATCGTGCAGTGCTTTTCCTGTGGCGGGTGTTTAGAGAAGTGGCAGGAAGGTGATGACCCATTAGACAATCACACCAGATGTTTTCCCAAGTGAGTGGAATGAATGTTAACCATCTGCGACTTTGGATGCACTTCAACAGTTTGGTTTTTCCCCCCGCCTCATTTCCTGCCTTATTTTATCTTTAGATTGAGTCTTTATCTACTCCTCTGATTCAGGCTATGAAGGATGAGTCTTCATGTCTTTCATCCCTTTGCTCCATGACCCCCTTCCTGTACTAGCCTTTGCCTCTTTATAGTTATGGCATAGTTTTGGTTAGATTCATATTTTCACATTACATGTTTACATTGTCATGACTATATAAATGCTATGCAGAGCTGAAGCTTGTGGTAAATTTTTATTTATTTTCCTTTCCTGTACCTCCTTTATTTTCTTTAGGAAGTAGTAACTGGCCTGTTAGTATGTTTGCTTATTTTTTTTTTCCTGAGGTAAAATTCACATAGTAACCATTTTATTTATTTATTTATTTATTTATTATTTTTCGTGGCAGGGTCTCTCTCTTGCCCAGGTTGGAGTGCAGTGGTGCAGTCATGGCTCACTGCAGTCTTGACCTCTCTGGCTCAAGCAGTCTTCCTCGCTCAGCCTCCCAGGTAGCTGGGAATACAGGCACGAGTCTCCACACCCAGCTAATTTTTTTTTTTTTTTTTTTTTAGAGACAGGGTCTCCCTATGTTGCCCAGGCTGGTCTCAAACTTCTGGGCTCAAGCAATCTTCCCATCCTGGCTTCCCAAGGTGCTGGGATTATAGGCGTGAGCCACCATGCACCGCAATTAAACTATTTTAGAGTGTACAATTCTGTGGCATTTATCATAGTACATTCACAATGTTGTGCAACCACCCCTTCTATCTAGTTCCAAAAAGCTTTCATTGCCCCCAGAGAAAACTCTGTATCCATTAAGCAAGCCCTCCTTATCTCTCCACCCCACTCCATGCCCAGCCCATGGGATACACCAACCTAATTGGTGTCTATGGATTTATTTGTTCTGACTATTTCCTCTATATGGAAGCATACAGTTTGACCTTTTGCATTTGGATCTTTCACTTGGCATATTGTTTTGAGGTTTATCCATGTTGTAGCTTGTATAAATACTTCCTTCCTTTTTTTTTTTGAGACGGAGTCTCGCTCTGTCGCCCAGGCTGGAGTGCAGTGGCCGGATCTTGGTTCACTGCAAGCTCCGCCTCCCGGGTTTACGCCATTCTCCTGCCTCAGCCTCCCGAGTAGCTGGGACTACAGGCGCCCGCCACCTCGCCCAGTTACTTTTTTTTTTGTATTTTTTAGCGGAGACGGGGTTTCACCGTGTTAGCCAGGATGGTCTCTATCTCCTGACCTCGTGATCCGCCCGTCTTGGCCTCTCAAAGTGCTGGGATTACAGGCTCACCGCGCCCGGCCAGTACTTCCTTCATTTTGTGACCAAGTAATATTCCATACGGATACACTACATTTTATTAATCCATTCATCTATTTGCAGATATTTGGGTTGTTTCTACCTTTTGGCTACCATGAGTAATACCGATAGGAACATTTGGGTACAGGTATCTGTTGGAGCATGTAACTATATTCAATTCTTTGGGGCATACACCTAACAATGAAATTGCTAGCTATATAGTAATTCTGTTTTAACTTTTTTTTTTTCTCTCAGACAGAGCCTCACTCTGTCACCCAGGCTGGAGTACAGTGCTGCGATCTCAGCTCACTGCAACCTCCGACTCCTGGGTTCAAGCGATTTTCCTGCCTCATCCTCCTGAGTAGCTGGGATTACAGGTGCCTGCCACCACGCCCGGCTAATTTTCTGTATTTTTATTAGAGATGGGGTTTCACCATGTTGGCCAGGCTGGTCTCAAACTCCAGACCTCAAGTGATCCACCCGCCTTGGCCTCTCAAAGTGCTGGAATTACAAGTGTGAGTCACCACACCTGGTCTGTTTTAACATTTTGAGGAACTGCTAAACTGTTTTCCACAGTGTTGCACCATTTTAAATTCCCACCAACAATGTATGAGGGTTCCAATTTCTCATCAACTTTTCTGTTTTTAAAAAAATTATAGCCATCTGCTTAATTTTTATGTACTTTGCTTATTTTTGTTTCTTGAGAGAATATTCACATATTAATCATTTCATTTATTTAAGTAAATAAAGACGAACACCAGCTCATCTTTAAATTATCCCAAATGTTTAAATCTCCTCTTAAGTCATCCAGACCTACCAGATATCTCATCATTTTCATTTCCTGAAAGAGTCATCATCATATTTGTCTTTTTTTTTTTCTTTGAGATGGAGTCTTGTTCTGTCACCCAGGCTGGAGTACAGTGGCATGATCTCGGCTCACTGCAACCTCTGCCTCCCAGGTTCAAGCAATTCTCCCTGCCTCAGCATCCCAAGTAGCTGGGACTACAGGCGTGCACCACTATGCCTGGCTAATTTTTGTATTTTTAATAGAGATGGGGTTTTGCCATGTTGGCCAGGCTAGTCTGGAACTCCTGACCTCAGGTGATCCACCCGCCTCAACCTCCCAAAGTGCTGGAATTACAGGCGTGAGCCGCTGCGCTTGGCCCATTTTCATCTTGAAGTAGTCATCCATAATTTTCACCTTCTTGAATGAGTTTCCCTGGAAATCTTCTGGCCTGCTGGATTATGAACAACTTGTCCTATAATCATCCTGGGATCCAGGGATCTTTCTTCACAGGCATCCTGGAGATTATCTCCTCTGTGGTATCTCCCGGATCCAATGTCATCCTCTTCTTGGTTCACTCACTCATTTTGGTGGAACACTTCATCAGAGTTCACTGGAAAAGACTGCATAAGAAATACACATTTTTAGTTGTACATAATGCATATATAGACATATAGATCTATCTGTATATACGTTTTTCCTGTATTCTCACACTTACTTGATAGTTTAGCTAGGTGTAGAATTATAGGTTGGAAATCATTTTAATTGTAAATTGTAGAAGCATTGCTACATTTCCACTAGCTCCTAATGTGCTATTGAGAAGTTCCATGCCTTTCTGATTCTCAATCCTTTGATTGCAAACAACGTTTTCTGTTTTTTTTTTTTTTTTCCCCTGCGCTGGAAGTTTTTAGAAAAATATCTGTTCTAAAATTTTATGAAAAAATATTTCTTTTCTGTGAATCTTTAAACTTAATTTTTTTTACCCATCAAACTCTTTAGAAATGTTTAATTGCAAGAAGAAATTTGTGTTTTCACTATGTAATTAGTAAGAGTTTTTTTTTCTTAGAAATGAATATGAACACATACAGATTTTAAAATGAATGCTTCCTGCTCATTTGTATAGTGGTAAAAACAAAAATAAAATAAAATTAATACTTCCATCTAATTTTATTACCTTGAAGGTGTTTTGACAGCAGCAGTTAACCTCATTTTTCTTTCTTATTTGGGCTTAATATGTAATAAATTATTGTGAACAATGGAGACATTCTACTTAATTCTTGGAAGGATAAGCTAGGATGCAGTCTAGTTTTATTTAGAACTTACTCTGGAATCTATCAACTCCCTTTTATACTATCACTATTATCATTATTTTAGTTTTGTTGTTGTTGTTTTTGAGATGGAGTCTCGCTCTGTCACCCAGGCTGGAGTGCAGTGGCGTGATCTTGGCTCACTGCAACCGCTGCCTCCCAGGTTCAAGCGATTCTCCTGCCTCAGCCTCCCAAGTAGCCGGGGCTACAGGTGCCTCCCACCACGCCTGGCTACTTTTTTGTACTTTTAGTAAAGACAGGGTTTCACCATGTTGGTCAGGCTGGTCTTGAACTCCTGACCTCAAGTGATCCTCCTGCCTCAGCCTCCCAAAGTGCTGGGATTACAGGTATGAG